GGGTCTTGTAGTCTTCATTGCAAACATTTGATTCTGATCTACTCACATACAAGGAAATGTAGATTTGCCAAGACCAAAACTAGAGGGGCGGGCTTCCCATCAGGGTTTTCCTGTGGGGAGATGACAAGAGAAACAGGGAGGAAATCCTAATTATGGCTTGTCCTCTTCCCTGAATTGCTGTCTACGACAGTGTAGTTTAAATGTAAACAAGGTGGGTTAGGGACGGTTTATGTAGGGCAGGAGGCCCACCCAGAAGGCCCACCCAGGGAAGAGAGGGCCCAGAACCTAGATGCAGCATTTGCCTAGTGACCCTACCCCGACCTTTCTTTGTATGTTAGGAAGCTGGAAATGCAGGCTGGTCTCCCTTTCTTGCCTTTGTCACTAACCCCGAGCTGTCAGCCATTTGGAATCAGAACTGCTTTCCAGTGTTCTAAGTCCTTATTTGATTACAAATATTTGGTGAATCAAAGTAAGGCACTTTGGTCCTAATTTTTGTTTGTAGTTTGTGGAGAATAACCCTGACCTTACCAGGGGTCCTGGGAATGTGAATCCATTCATCAAGTGGTTCCACATCTGGAAGCATTTTGCCTATGCCGTGTGGAGAAGAGTAGAGTGCCACAAAGCCCAGGCATCATTCAACACGAGGCCAACTATCTGCTGCCAGTCTGGCATAAGATCAGATTGAAACTGCTAAGTAATGGTACATCCAACTAAACAAAGTTCTTCCAAGAGAGTAAACCCAAGTCATCTCATACACGTATTTGTTCTGGGTTGGCAGCGATGACAGTTCAGCAGAGTCCGATGTTCTAGAGCAGAGGTTCTCAACCCTGGCTGTAAATTAGGATCGTCTGGCCAGTTTTTGTTTTTAAATCAGTGCAAGGGCCCTCCCCTCAGAGATTCGGATTCAGTAGCTTCAGGTGGGACCTGGAATCCATGCTTTGTTTGGAACCTCAGGAGTAGAGTGTCCTTGATGTGCAGCCAGGATTGACAAGAGCCTTTAGTCTAGGGCTCGCAGCAGACCCTATTTGGAATCTTATTTTAAAGAATGGTCTAGCAGATGAAGGTTTTTTTTTTTTTTTTAATTGTTAGTCATGTGAAACGAACTGAGTATTGACCAATAATACAGGCTGGGCAGCTATGAGAGAGTTTGATGCTAATCTTTGCAGAACTCAAGAACATACTCCATAAAGTACAGCTGAAAAGATCACGAAAACCTTGGAGCCTTCAAGGAGAGAGAAGGGTGGCTTGGAGTATGTATGGGGAGAATTAAAAACCTGCCATCTTGGTTCCCACTTGTGGGGAATAAAGGGAAGGTATTAACTGAGCTGCTGACTAATCAAGCATGAAGGTTTCTGGGAAGCTGTTTTGTTTTGTTTTTAATTTCACCTGGAATTAAATTAATAGTCCCCTCTGGAGTCAGATTTTCTTTCCCTTCACCTGTCCTCATGCCTGGGTCCACATTGGATTCCTCAGAATAAGGGTGGGCCCGTTTACTGCTGGAGCAAAGTAGAAGGTTGTGGTCCTTTGCTATCACATGGTGATGGTGGTAGTTTCCATAGCAGGTGATTAAGGAGATGCACACTTTTGTGTAGCCCTGACAGAGAGAAGATGAAAGCTGCTATTCCTTTTAGTACGCTTTTTGAGAACTACCAGAAACCTAAACTTTCTCTCCTAGAGAAGAAAATTTGGAATTTAAATAAGGCCACATTTCTTCCTAGGAAACAAGCACAGGAAGGGCATATGGATCCGAGCATCCAGGGTGGTTACTGGGGTGATGAGACAAATAAGCATTGATGCCTGGAAGGCAGAAATCACACTGTGACATCAAATGTTTCATCAAGCAAACAGCAAGGAGCTCTTCAGGCTGTGTTCTCTAGACCCGAAAATGTCCTCTGTGGTTTGGCTGACAAATGGAATCTCTTTAGAAAACATGCAAAAGGGTATCTCAGCTATCCATGAACGATTCCGTCTAGGACAAAGAACTAACAGTTCCAAAATAGAGGTCTGTTGGTCTGTTTCACGTCATCCCGTCATCCTATCTCTCCCTGTCCTTGTCTGCAGTGGAAGTTAATGTAATCATACCAGATGTTTAATGTGAACAAGTGATTTCCAAATGTAGAAACACCACTGATGTACTTAGGGGGAAAAACAGTGGCAGGGTGTTAGAGCATCTCATCAGAGGTGAAAATCACCCACTTGGAAACCTACCATGTACCCGTTGTGAGTTCTAAGAGTGTATCAGAAAGCTGATTTTACCATCTGTTGTGAAAGATTATCTGCAATGAGGGCTGCTAGGAAGTCAGCCTACTGATCTCACAAGTATATGACTTCTTATTCCACTTCAAAAGTGGGGAACTTGACAAGTTTCTTGTCTGCCTTTTGATGTTGATTCTATAGATTCATTAGTTCAGGAAAAAGTCTTTCATATACATTAGACTGGTATCATTGAGTTCTGATCTCTTCTGTTCTTTAACTGACACTCTGGCTTGCCAGTGTCGGCTGCTACATTCTGATACAGTGAAGTCGAAGGAATCTAGTGGCCAAGAGTTGTAGTTTAGAAACAACCCATCTGAATACTGCCTTTACCACTTTGATACCTGAAAAAATCGTCCCTGTTTCTAAAACCTGAAAACAACATATAGAGAAATACTGTAGAAACCAATGCTAGTGGCTTAACTAGGAAAAGCAAGTAGACTCATCAACAGTCCTTTCAAAACAAGACCTAAACAATTTTTTCCAGTTTCAATTTTCATAGACATTTTTAAAAAATTAAACACACCTTGTCACCCAGTGCTAGCAAAAATTGTAAAGAGCAAAACCAAAGTTTTTGATGTTAGTCTTATTTTTGTAAGCAGGGTATACTATAGTCATGGCCCATATGGAACACACAGGCAGCCGGTTTTCTGCTACCTGAGCCTTGGAGAAGATGAAAAGGAAGGGCTGTCTGCTGTGCTGTCCTTTGAAAAGGTCCAAAGCAGACATGAGAACACACAGCAGAAGTCACCTTCTCCTTCTGATGACCGCCTTTCAAAAGGCTTAACAGAATCATCAAATGTCATGGTCAGCTATTGGCCAGTGGAAAATTGTCTGGGCCTGTAATATGTTGGAGGAACTCAGATAGAAAAGGACTTGTAAACAGCACGGAAACCTCAACATCTGCTGTCTCAAGCACTTGAAAGAGGCTACAATTCAGGTGTTACTGGATGACTTAACTGCTCGGACATTTGGGGGCTGACTTGTGTTGTGATTATTCCAATTGTGGGCTTTGGAGAAGCAGAGGGATGGTTTTCAGTTGTGCGGGTGTTAAGTCTACAGATTGGGAATTTACCACTGAAATTGATCGTTCAAAGTGTGACTTCATAGTACGGCCAGCTCCTCCTAAGTTGTCCTTTTGTTTTTCACATAAAATACATCTGGTACTTTTTACTTGTGAAGCTGTACTATGTCCATGAAAATGGTTAAATGAGAAGGCCATCAAGATTCATTTAATAGCTGAAAAGCAATTTTTAAAATAGAATAGGACGAATTTAACATGGAATGATGTGACCTAGGGAACTTTTTATAGAGAGCTTACATACTGTAATTGGGAAGAATTTTGTCTTCTATTTCCATTGAACAGTAGCAAACTGGTGGTTTTATAAAATTAACATTATAGTATGTTATATAAATAAATGTTATATAAAATGACATTAAAGTATAACTGTGAAAAATTAAAGACTTGGAGTTATCCACAACCTTTATGTGCAATAAGGAAAACTGCAGTAGGCCCCCAAAGTGCTGTCTTTCCCTAGCATTTTACTCAATGTTTGCCTTTGTGTATGTTTAGATTGTTATCGTAAAGCTAGCCATGTGTGTTCCTGCCCTTTACTGATATTTAACACATTTTCTCAAAGCTTTTTTTTTTTTTTTTAACAAAACTCAAAATAAAACAACTAACTGGCTGAGCTAATTTTGTTTTGTATTTTAAAGTATCATCTGTTGGTAGAAGGCTGTAGTGCGATACTATTCTTAGTCTGTTTCCCTCACTGAGAGGTTCTTTTCTGGGTGTAACTATTCCTCTCCAGCTTTCTTTAGGCCTGGGGTTGGCAAACTACAGCTGGCTCCTGAACCAAGTCCAGCCCACTGCCTTTTTTTGTAAATAAAGTTTTATCGGCATGACTAGGCTCACTGATTTGCTTACTGTCTGTGGCTGCTTTCCTGCTACAATGACAAAGCTGAGGAGCTGCAACAGAGATCATATGGCCCATAAAAACTAAACTGTTTACTATCTGGGCCTTAACAGAAGTTTCTGCCAGCCTGTGATTTAGATGCTTGAAGAAATTCAGTTTTAAAATAGGGCTGGGCGCAGTGGCTCACACCTGTAATCCCAGCACTTTGGGAGGCCGAGGTGGGCGGATCACCTGAGGTCAAGAGTTCAGGACCAGCCTGGCCAACATGGTGAAAGCCCGTCTCTACTAAAAATACAAAAATTAGCCAGGCGTGGTGGCATGCACCTGTAGTCCCAGCTACTTGGGAGGCTGAGGCAGGAGAATCACTTGAGCCCGGGAAGTGGAGGTTGCAGTGAGCCAAGATTGCACCACTGCACTCCAGCCTGGGTGACACAGCAAGACTCTGTCTCAAAAAAAAAAAAAAAAAAAAAAAAAGGATGTAAAAATCAACAGCAACAGATTTTTGAGACTTTCTAAAATGTGCATTAGGGTTAAAAGATATACTTTAAATCTGGCCTCTGCCTGTGACTCCTCCTTGCCTGTAACCATCTTTAACAGGCTTTGAATGTAGAATCCTGAAAAAGGCATTACCAACTGTTGGCAACATCAACTAGTAAGACTGAAGCAAGTGGATTTGACATTGCAGCTTAATGCTTAGGTTCGTACTGGATAATTGCTGAAATTCTTAAACCCAATATACAGTTTCTTCCACAGTCTTCATATTCCTCTGTATGTAGACTAGCTTTTACCCAAACCATGCAATTGAACTGCATCCAAACAAAACAAATCCTGTCATTAACATGACTCCAAAGTCATTTAATAGTATAATTACAAAAACACCAGATAGAAAAATTTAAAAGTAAAAATGTGTTTCAGTTCATTAGGGTTCTCCCAGCCCAGGGAGAAAAATTACTTTTTAAAAGTCAGTTCTGGGTAGACGGAGCTATTTGAAGGACAGCCGGATGAGTCAGGTTAAAAACAATACTGCCCAGACCTATTATTTAATATTAAGTAATTTAATCAAGATAGACAGGACTGCAGTTGGCCCTTATTCACATTGATGTTTTCATCCAGACACCTGCTGATGTGAAATGGTACCAAATCACATCTCTTCTTTGTTGTGAGGACGCCTTGTTGAAATGAAATGGCTCCAGCAGTGGCAGGTTCAGCCTGGGAACTTAAGCTCTTCCTATTTTACGGCCATAAATATCCACATTGCACTGTCACTTCCTTACTGGAAACTTCATCTCAACCAATGCATCTGTCATTATTGAACAGCTCATGATATTCCTGCTCAGCAGAATTGCACAGCAGTTGGTAGCAAGTCAACTCCCAGACTCTGACAGTGTGACAGATTGCCTCCACAGCGCTGCTTCTCCAGTGCTGAGGCAGCATGCCGAGTGCCCTGGTTCATGGTGACTGACCTGGAAGGGAAGGAACAAAGGATGTCTGAACTTCAGAACACAGAAATCCCCAGAAAGGAAGTCTGTTGGACCGTGACAACATAAGTCCTTTTAAATCAGAAATCTATAATCTTCCAAACCCATACCGAATCAGTATCAATCATTTCTGGTTTGTGAAGACAGACCAGGAGAAAATGACCCAAGAGGTCACTGGGTGAGGGTGAAGATGGGAAAAATCTGAGGGCGCCTCTGTTAGCATGGCTGTGCTTTCTGTAGCTGCTGTTGTGGAGCGCCTGCTGAGGAGAACAGGGCTTTCTGGGAGCTTCTGGGTAGCGTGTGGGAGGAATTGGGATTGAAGCCATACCTTTAGGCACCAACCATGTACCCATCCATTCTTCACTCAAGTACCAGTTCATATGTGCAAAATGTCAACAGCAACTGACAATTCTATACAACTGAGGCTGTAGATAGGCAGTGAGTCCAGCTTTCTACCTTTGTGGCACCTGAACTTTTTCTTCTTTCATTTAAACACATTGCTTGTGTCACTCTACGTGAGCAGTGGAAAGTGGGCTGACTCCAGTGTGTCTGTACTAGTCCTGTCACCAGTTTCTTGCTCTCCTGTGATCCTTCCTCTGATCCTGGATGTGTACCAAATTTGACATTTTCTAATGGAGTGAAACTTGTCCATCAGCTTAATAGAACTACTGATGCAAAGTTTGGGAAAGGCAGTTTCAAGATGATTTAAAATGTGCAATAAAGAGTCACACTAAGCATTAAGGAAAAGCTAATTTCATAAATGCTTTGAGGCCTTTCTATAAGTCTTTCTTTTTTTTTTTTTTTGAGACGGAGTCTCACTCATGCCCAGGCTAGAGTACAGTGGCATGATCTAAGCTCACTGCAACCTCCACCTCCTGAGTTCAAGCAATTCTCCTGCCTTAGCCTCCTGAGTAGCTGGGATTACAGGCGTGTACCGCCACACCTGGCTAATTTTTTGTATTTTTAGTAGAGACAGGGTTTCACCATGTTGGCAAGGCTGGCCTCGAACTCCTGACCTCAAGTGATCCACCTGCCTTGGCCTCCCAAAGTGCTGAGATTACTGGCATGAGCCACTGTGCCCCGCCCCTTTCTATAAATCTTTAGTATTTTGCTAGTACACGTTTCATTAAAGGGCTATATATGCAAAGTGACCCCCAAACTCAGAAGGGGCTGAGAAACCAAAGAAGGAGGCAGAGAAGTCCAGCTTGTCATCACAGGATGATTTTATCGGGGAACTTATGGACAGAAGTATGGTCTTGAGCAGCTACAAAGCAGGTAGATCTCCACGCCATTAGCCCCCACCCCCAGACCCAGGGATTATATACCAAAGGAAAAGGTACACGTGCTTCAGAGGAAATGAGTAACAGTTTGATCTAAGAGCAGAATTTATGGTAAGGATGTGCTCTTACACAAGGAACAATAGATGAACTGGAAATCTCAGAGGCATTCCTGGAACCAAGGTTAATCACAAGTCAACACGGTGGATTAGCATCCAAGATGGAGTTACTTTAGTCTCCACAACAGGTTACTTACATAAAGAAAGAGATACCATGTCAAATTTCAGTCTTTAATAAAAACCAATTTCCAGATGGGCCAACTTTTTTTTTTTTTTTTTTAAAGACAGAGCCTAGCTCTGTCACATAGGCTGGAGTGCAGTGGTGTGATCTCGGCTCACTGCAATCTCCACCTCCCGGGTTCAAGCGATTCTTGTGCCTCAGCGTCCCGAATAGCTGGGATTACAGGCATGCACCACCACGCCCAGCTAAGTTTTGTATTTTTAGTAGAGACAGGGTTTCACCATGTTGGCCAGGCTGGTATCGAACTCCTGACCCCAGGTGATCTGCCTGCCTCAGCCTCCCAAAGTGCTAGGATTACAGATGTGAGCCACTGCACCTGGCCAGTGTTGACTTCTAGTTGACAAGATGGAATCATGCACTTCTCCTTATTCCTCCCACAAAGTGTATAACTAAAAACTCCAAATATTATGTATAAAACAAAGATAAGAGTCTGAAGGGTGGAGAGAAGAAGGCCGACTGACTAGGAACCTTGGCAACTGAGGAATACCGTGACCCTGAGTTTTCTTTCTGCCGCCTCTATATCCTGAATGTTGTGTGCTAAAGAAGCCAGCAAGCCAGAAATGCCAATTGTGAGAGACACACACAAAAAGGCCCTGAAAAAAGCCTGTTACCTCTAGCCAAAGTATAGGAAAAGGTTCACTCTAAAAAGACAGAAACCAAGCAAAAACAAAACAAAACAAAAAAAAATCCCCTCTCCTGTGAGCAAAGCCCTAGTGGGAAGCCAGGATCTCTGGACTGCCACCTTGACCTGGCAGTAACCAGGTGATGTGCCCCTTTCTCCACCAGTGTGGTGTCAGTGGAGGCCTGCTAAAATAGAAGACTTAAATAACATTTGTAGATTCATAAGATAATTCTCCCAGTGTCCAGGACAATAAAAAGAGCATTTGTCAAACCAAGAACCAGGGAAATGTCAGCTTGAATGAGAGAAGACAACTAATACATACCAACACTGAGATGACACAGATGTTGAAATTATCTGAAACAGATTTTAAGTGGCAATCATAAACATCCTCAATTAGCCATTACAAACACACTTGAAACAAATGAAAAAATTGGAATTCTCAGTGAAGAAATATAATTTTTTAAAAAGCTACCAAATGGAAATTGTAGAACTGTAAAATACAATCATGAAAATTTGAAAAACTCACTGGATGGGCTCAATAGCAGAATAGAGATGATAGAGTAAGGACTTAGTGAAACTGAAAATAGAACAATAGAAATTATCCAATCTGAACAACAGAAAATAGAGTTAAAAAAAAGATAAACAGAGCCTCAGGGGCCTGAGGAACCATAATAAGATCTATCATGCATGTCATCAAAGTTCCAGAAAAAGAGACTGAAAAACTACTTGAAATATGGCTGAAAATTTCCCAAATTGGTGAAAGACATAAATTTACAGATTCAAGAACTTGAGCAAACCCCAAAGAAGAAAAACTCAAAGAAATCTACACCAAGCCATGGCATACTCAAACTTCAGAAAAGCAAAAACAAAGAAAAAAATCCTGAAGGCAACTAGAGAGGAATGACACGTTAATTATGGGAACAACAATATGAATGCCAACGGATTTTGTATCTGAAAGCATGGGGGTCAGAAGGAAGTGACACGACAGTTTTCAAGTGCTGAAAGAAAATATCTGCCAATCCAGATTTTTCTTTTTCCTTTTTTTTTGGACAGAGTCTCATTGTCGCCCAGGCTGGAGTGCAGTGGCGTGATCTCGGCTCACTGCAACCTCCGCCTACTGGGTTCAAATGATTCTCGTTCCTCGGTCTTCCGAGTAACTGGATTATAGGCACCCGCCACCACACCCAGCTAATTTTTGTATTTTTAGTAGAGACGGGGTTTCACCATGTTGGCCAGGCTGGACTTGAACTCCTGACCTCAAGTGATCCACCTGCCTTGGCCTCCCAAAGTGCTGGGATTACAGGCGTGAGCCACAGTGCCCAGCCTCGATCCAGATTTCTATATCCCATGATAATATCCTTCAGGAATGAAGGTGAAATAAAGACATTTTCACATGAAAGAAAACTAAGATAATTTTTGTCAGCAGAACTTTTATAAAAGAATTGCTAAAGTTCTTCCTCAGAGAAAGGAAATGATAAAAGGAGGCTTGAAGTATCACACATGAAGAAAGAACAATGGAAAAGGTAAAATATGAGTAAATTTAATAGACTATTCTCTTGAGTGTTTAAAATTATTTTTGATGGTTGAGGCAAAGTAACATTGTATGATGTGGTTCTCAATATATGTAGAGAAAATTTTTAAGAGGCTATTTAAGGGGCAGGATAAAGGAACCTAAATGGAGATTAGTTTTCTACATTTCACTGGAGGTAGTAAGATGTTGACACCAGTAGACTGTGATAAGTTATGTATAATTCAAAGAAACCGCTAAAATAAACATACAAAGAGATACACTCAAAAACACTACAGATAAAGTGAAATTCTAAAAAATGCTCAAGTAACTCAAAGGAAGATAGGAAAAGGAAAACAAAGGAATAAAAACAGAGGGAACAAACAGAAATCAAATTGAAGTCCCAAAATATCAATAATTAGATTAAATATAAATGGTTTAAATATATAAACTAAAAGAGATTGGCAAAATGGATTTAAAAACATTACCATTAATTTCTAATGCAATGAGGTAGGTTAAAAGTAAAAGGCTGAAAAGGATACACCATACAAACAATCAAAAGAAAGGAAGAGTAGCTATATTAATATTAGATAAAACAGACTTCAGAGCAAAGAAAATTACCAAGGACAAAGAAGAATGTTACATAAGGTTTAAAGAGTCAATCCACAAACAAGACATAGCAATCCTAAATATGTACAAAGCAAATAGCAGAGCTTCAAATTTCCTGAAGCAAAAACTGAAAGAACAGAAAGAAGAAATGGACAAGTCTATATTTATAGTTGAAAACTTCAACACCATTCTTTCAACAAATGATGGACTCACTAGACAGAAAGTCAGTAAGGATACAGAAAGACTGAACAGTAACATCAATCAATAGAATTGAACTGACATTTATAGAACAGTCCACCTATTAACAGTAGAATACGCATTATTTTTAGGCATACATGGAACATTCACAACATGAACCTATCCTGGTCCACAAAACAAATCTGAACAAATGTTTTAAAAATTGAAATAATAGTAATAAATTAAATAACCATAGTGTAATCAAACTGGAAGTCAATAACAGAACGATAGCAGGAAATTATCCAGAAATTTTAAAATTAAAGAACATACTTAAACATAATTCATTGAAAATAAAACTATATTGAATGAAAATGCAACATCAAAATTTGTGAAGCTAAGAGAAAAATGCGTAACACTAGATACATGAGAAAGAAAGAAAGATCTCAAATCAATAATCTATGTACTTACCTCAAGAAACTGGATGATTTTTTTA